TGTAATTATAGTGTATATATAGATTTTTATTAACAATGAAAAGCAAATAGTAAATCAGTCCCATATTAATACTTTCAAGTTAATCTGATTTAAATTTTTCCTTAGTCACAACTGTCTTATCTGAAGCAATAGGTAAAAAATGAAATTCTCTTTTTAACAAATGTAGAAAACAAACTGGAAAAATCTATTGTTGATCTAGAACACTTGATCCAAATACAGTATAGTTTATAACATAAATTTGATGTTCATCTGGTAATCAAAGCATTTGTTAAATTTCTTCAGAACTAATTGAAACATTTGCATAGTTTAGCATGCTGAAATCTCAGATTTAGAGCTTAATACACAACAAAAACTGAAAAGATTATGAAGGTTCAGCATTATCTTGAGTCAGTGCTGATCAAAGAAACTGTGTAAGACAAAAAGGCCCTTAGGAAATGTTACCCTGTGAAGTGCCCCTTGTACTTAACTGGAATTTAACACAAATCTCTAAAGATGAAATTCCATCAGAAGTAGAACAATAATGGAAGCTGGGCATGCCAGCTACAACACCCAGCCTGTGTGTATTTTCTGCCTCTCTCAAGTGCTCTCGAATCTCTCAAATCAGTCAATGATCTCTCGATCTCTCTCTTTCCTTCCCCCTCCTTCTCTCTCTCCCTCCTCTGGTCCTTTATTCTTCTTTCTCTCTGTGAGAGAATTCTGTCCTTCATTTGATTCATGACGACCTTAAATTACTTTGCATCATTTTTATATATAGCTGTAATTTGTCTCTCAGGTTTTCTAGGATACTAATATTTTTAAAAAGCATCATTTTTACTTTTGTTTTGTATACTTTTTGGATTTTTTCCTTCCCTGCAGAATTGTGAGTTAAAATTTTAATTACAGAAAACCATCAATAAAGATTATATCTTTATTAGTAAAACCTTTGCCCACTTTGTACTTTTGTTACCTTATCACATGTATTTCTTCACTATAATGTTAAAATCTTCCTATGGTTACAGCATTGATAAACATGGAATTATTTTTGAAAGACTAATTTGTATTTAAGTTGTTATTTAGTGGTTGTTGTTTAACACAAAATTCTTTTGGCATAATCTCAGAATCTCCGTGAATTTATCTTTTCCATTGGGACAGACATTAGCCTAATATGCTTTACTTTGTACCCTCTCAGCCAAATTCTGTCTGCATTAGCCAGTTTATTCTATGACAAGTTGCTTAACAAATGTCATTCTGGAGAGAACAATGAAGCCAAATACTTGTGCAATGGCTAACATTACTCTAACTTTGATCACTTTTGTTCAGCACATCAGTCTGGCGTTGCGCTTTATACCAACATAACACTATAGCCAGAACATGCTTTTCGGGCTTACAATAGCAAAGGAATGCTATTCAATTCAGTGCAGTTACAAATGAGTTAATGAAAGAAGAAAAATACTGTTTATTTCATAATACCATATTGTTGTGTTTTGGAATTAAGGTGGAATTTAAAGAATCCCCTTATAGAGTTATTTGTTTGTATACTCAACTCATAGTATTTGTGTATACTATCCAATACAGGGTAGCCTTGCTGCAACCTTTCCAACAAATACAAATATTTGTCCTGCTTTTTTTTTTTTTTTTCCAAAATAGTTGATGAAGCTTGGTGTATCTAGACAGCATAATTGAAAAATAACTCTAAGAAAGGGTTTTCTTGGGCCTTGAGCCCTAGACCCATCTCATACGCCTCTCTTCTTTCCCTTTCTTTTATTAATATAATACTTTAGGTTTGTGGACCACCCTTCTCCTTAAAAACACTATTGTTTCAGCGTGACAAAAATAGTCTTAGCTAGTGGAAGTGGTCAGAGGTTGAATTTGGCTAAATTGTTGTGTTGATAATGACTAATGAAAATTTCCAAACTTAATGTGACTGGCCATAAACAAAATACTGCATGGCAGACTGGCCATTGCTAAGAACCTTTGAAGAAAAGCTGTTTGTTTGAATTGAGTAGGGATCAAGCCATTCCTCCAAGCTCCTCAGTTCTCATTTACTAAGTCTTTTTTCACAGGTGTACATTAGAGATAAAAAGTAGATTGAGTTCCACATTGTGTTTTTGTTTTTTCCTTTCCCAGTGAATATATATCTCTATTTCACTGGAAAGGTAACTTAGATGTGTTTATGTATAACAAACAGAAATGTGAGACAAAATGCTGTAATTGGACATTTAAAAACATGAATGAGTACTGCTTGTTTTCTATAGTGAAGTCTTATTGTACGAGATACAGAGTAGGGCAAAAGGAGGTTTGCAGTTGGAACCTTCTTTTGCCCCACCCTGTATTATGTGCAATATTCAATACTAGCATCATTTGTTATAGTAGTTTAATCCCATAACTAACCTGAAGAGTTAAGGTAATCTCTCCATTCTTAATAATTTGATAATTTATCTTATTTGTAAATATGTAACAAAATAGAATTTTCATAACCTGTTTAAAACTGAAAAAAATATGATACTTCTTAATTAGTGGATAACATAGAGTTTAATCTTCCAACACTTTATTCTGATAAATTACCTCTTCTAAAATGAAAGGTATAATATTGCATGTTGAAAATTGTTTTTCATCTTTAACAATATTAAAAATATAAAATATCATTACCGTATTGTCTTTTCAGGAAAGGCCTAAATAGTGTATTCGTAGATACCATTTAGTTAATAAATATTCTATTGAAATAGTTTTTAATTTGGATGATTTCAATGTAATAATCTGTGCTGTTTTGTTAGTTTTTACATCTTTGAAGCTTACATCAAATAATAAATAAAACTTCAGGTTTTTCCTCCTACCTGCTCCTCCCCTTCAAAAAAAAACCCCAAAAAACACCATTCTCTCTCCCACATAGAAACTTGAACCATATCTTTTGTTTGAATTATTTTACATCTTGAACCATTTAAAAATTATATAGTTTATTAAAATTTATAATTATAGTTTGTCCTAGGTGTACTATGTAGCTGAAGTTTCTTAACTGAAAAGAGACTTGAAACTATCCAGGAATATATAAAATCAATCGGCAGCAGGGGGTGGTTTTCTTTTTTCATTTTTAAGTTACAGTTTACATTCAATATTATTTTGTACTAGAAGCCCAGTGCACGAATTCGTGCACCAGTGGGGTCTCTGGGCTTGGCCTTGCAGGATCCTGCCGAAAGCGGCTCTCCAGCATCCCTCAAGGGTCCCGGATTGTGAGAGGGTGCAGGCCAGGCCCAGGGACCCCATCAGTGCACTATCGGGGCCGGGAGGGATGTGGGAAGTTTGCCTGCCGGGGAGGGACTGTGGGAGGGCTCTAAGGTGTGTCCGGCCTGTCTTGCTCAATCCCGATATGCCAGACCTCAGCAGTAAGCTAACCTACCAGTCGGAGCACCTACCCCCTGGTGGTCAGTGCACATTATAGTGACTGGTCGAATGGTCGACTGTCTGCCCCCTGGTGGTCATTGCACGTCATAGTGAGTGGTTGAACAGCCTTAGCATATCATTAGCATATTACCCTTTGATTGGTTGAATGGCTGACTGGTTGACCGGACACTTAGCATATTAGGCTTTTATTATATAGGACTAGTTTCAGGTATGCAGCATAGTGGTTAGACAGTCATTTTCTTTACAAAGTGATCACCCCAATAAGTCTAGTATTCATCTGACACCATAGATAGTTATTAGAATACTAGTGGCCCAGTGCATGAATTTATGCACATTGAAAGGAAATTAATTACAAGAAATATTATAATATTGCTATTCGCCATTTCTCTATAAAAGAAGTGTCAACCAAATTCACAAACGACAATGACAGATCGAAACACACATGCGATTGGCACCAGTGAGAGCTTTATATGTATCGCGCATGCGCGAGTCAACTTAGCCTTTTATATATATAGAACATACTTGCTTAATTAGACCTGCTTTCTCATTTAGCAAACTTTTTCCAGCCCAGTGAAGCACTCCAACTTCTCTTTCAGGTAATTGTCAGCAACCCAGCAGTAAATATCAACACGAAGCAGATTATTATTGTAGATCACACAGGGAGAACAAAGGGT